CCCACCCACACCCACCCACACACACCCACACACCCACACCCACACCCACACCCACACCCACACCGACAGCCACACCCACACCCACATTAAACATTATTTGCTTCGCGTCAAGCGAGAAATCATGACCTTTAGGCATCGTATCGATAGATGAAATACTTTTCAATTATATAATACAACGCGTTGCTTTTATTTTCTTTGAATTATGCAGCTGAAATAGCGATCTATACGTTTAATCCAGCGAGAAGAAAAAAATTGTTTCCTATCAGCATATGGCTCATATTTTTATCCGTACATAAAAGGCAACTTTTCTAGGTGGCATGCCGTCGGTGACAACTCGACAGTAAAGAAAATTTTGTGATATCAATACTAAAATAGACGTGTCTCTAATTCAGCCAGACATACTTAAGAAATATTCAATTTGTGGGAGTATATTATATCATTATAGTTTGTGACGAGGATATTCAGTCTGTGATGTAAAATACTTAGCACTGGTTTTACATGATAAAAAATGACCTTGTTACAATACAGACAGTTTGGTTCGATTCAGAATGATCAAAAACTTATAGACATCGCATTATAAAAACTTCAAAAACTAGCGAAAAAATCGGTGTTCCGAGCGTTTTTGACTATCAGCGTGAGGTGTATAATTTTTGAACAGAACACAATAAAAATTTCGGGTTTGTGTAGAATTGTAGCTCTTGAGCAGGCGCATCTAATGCACCCCTTACAATTGAAATTCCTTACAACTTTTATAGGACTTCAGGTACTGCTTTGAATTTCATTGACCGCTCATCAGAATCATAAGATGACATTTTGAATCATCTATAGGAAGATGCAGAATGCCTGCCTCTATTGAATGGTGAAAACCGCAGATCGATAGCTATTTCCATTAAAAAGTTATTCAAAAAATAACCACTCTTCTTCTATTTTGAAATGGACAATAGTTTACTTCCAGTTAGTGATGATTCACATTTTCAAAATTTAAATGAATTAGAAGCGTCGTTCATGTACACACAAGTCTTTAAAGAGATTATACTAGAAATGACTTTTTCTCGAGATGATCTCGACAAATTCGTCGACTTCTGCCGAAAACAGAACTGTGGCTCATCAAAGAACATCAAGCTTATTGAGGACAAATATTATTCTTATAGTCCAATATGGTGGTATACTTTTCCATCATTTATTTTTTCTATGCTTAACGATGCACTTCGTACTCTGGAAGGTGATACTATCATTCTAATGGGTTTCTTTATTAAAGATCTTCACTCTGAAATTAAGCAACTTTATCAACAAAGATCGAATGAATATCGTGAAGAACCCTTCACAATCTATCGTGGACAGAGTTTATCTATACAGAATTTTGAAAAACTTCGAAATACAAAGGGTGGACTTTTATCTTTTAACAATTTCTTATCAACCAGTAAAAAAGAGGAAATAGCTCGTAATTATGCAAAGATTGGAACGTTGAATATGAATTCAGTTGGCATCTTATTCAAACTGACCATTGATCCATCTAAATCATCAGTACCGTTCACTTCCGTCAATCAGTTGAGTTACTTCAACCACGAAGAAGTGATTCTTTCTATGCACAGTGTGTTTCGTATTCATGACTTTAAACAAATTAATTACGTCGATCGACTTTATCAAGTAGATTTGGAAATGACTTCTGATGATGATACACAACTACGAAAAGTTACTGAACGTATACGAGAAGAAACTAAGGGTGAAACTGGATGGAGACGATTGGGACTATTATTAATAAAAATTAGCCAACTCGAAAAAGCTGAAGAATTGTTTAAATTTTTACTCGAACAAAAAAACCAAGAGAATGATCAAGCAGCTATTTATAACAGTCTTGGATATATTAAGAGTGATCAAGGCAAATACAAAAAAGCATTAGATTTTTACGATAGACCACTTGATATTCTTCAAAAAAAAAATTCCTATTAATTATTCATTATTGGCTATTGTCTCTAATAACATCGGTGTGCTATATCAAAGGCAAGGGGACTACTCAAAATCCATTTCATTTTACGAAAAGACATGTCGCATCCTTCATGAAACTCATTCTTCAAATGATCCTTTATTAGCCAGTACCTATAACAACATTGGAACATTACATGAACGCATGGGAAAATGTACAAAAGCGATTGAGATTCACGATCAAGCATATGATATCTATAAAACATTTCTTCCTGACTATCATCCTTCGTTCGCTAATTTTTACAACAACATGGCTTCAGTATACGATAGGTTAGGCGAGCATTCAAAAGCACTTTCATCTTATGAAAAAGCACTTGAAATCAAACGAAAATCTCTTCCTGAAAATCATCCTTCATTAGCAACTTCTTATAACAACATCGCTAAAATGCATTATAATATAGGACATAACACTGAAGCACTTTCATTTTTTCAAAAAGCACGTGAAATCTATGAAAAGATTCCTACTGAGAATCATCCTTCTTTGATAAACTGTTACAACAATATCGGTGAAGTGTATCGAAGTATGGGAGACTACCTACAAGCACTTTCATCTCATACAGAAACACTTGAAAAACGAGAAAAATATCTTCCATCCAATCATCCTGATTTGGCTCAGTCATATAATAACATTGGTTTAGTACATCACAACATGGGACAATACTCTAAAGCACTTTCTTTTCATCAGAAAGCACTCGAGATTCGAAAAGAGACTCTTCCAGATAATCATTCTGATGTGACTCAGTCCTATAATAATGTTGGTTCAGTACATCACAGCATGAGAAACTACCCTAAAGCACTTAATTTTTATCAGAAAGCACTCGATATTCGAAAAAAGACGCCTACTCCAAACTATTCTGATTTGGCTAATTCTTATAACAATATCGGTGGAGTATTAGACGATCAAGGAAATTATTTAAACGCAATTGAGTTTTACAACAAAGCGCTAGAGATTCATGCAAAAATTGTTCCATCAAATTCCTGTTTTATTGCTTATGCCTATAACAACATTGGTGAAGCCTACCGAAACCTGAAGAAGTATTCTGAAGCACTTCACTATCATCAGAAAGCACTCGAAATTCGAAAGAACAATCTTCAAGAAAACCATTCCGATTTAGCTCAATCTGGCAACAATATTGGTTTAGTGTATCACCAGATGAAACAAAATTCTAAAGCACTTAAATTCCTTCAGAAAGCACTGGAAATTCGAGAAAAGACTCTTACTCCAAATCATCCAGACGTGGCTAATTCATATAATAACATTGCTTCAGTGTTTGATGATCTGAAGAAGTACTCAAAAGCACTTTTGTTTTATCACAAGGCGCTCGAAATCTACAAAAATACTCTTCCTCCCAATCATTCTTCTTTTGCTACATCTTGGAACAATATTGGTTCAGTTTATTATAATATCGAAAACTATTCAGAGGCACTTGCATCGTTTGAACGTGCTCTAGACATATGGCAACATTCATTACCTGCTGATCATCCTTATATTCAAACTGTACGCAAAAACATAGAACGCGTTAAAAGCTATTATAAATGATGGACTCATGTTATAAATATGAGCGATGAATATTATGAAAGAATTATACTAGTTTGCCAATTTTTTTTGTGAATTTTAATTTTTTTTCTTCTTAATTCAACATTTATTAAATCACATAACTGTTTAATACCAATGAACGAATAGCACATAAATTTCCTTTGAACTATCGAATAGTGTTGCAAGTGAGCATAGTTTTATCTTTGATTCTTCTATTTGGCTAGCCGGATGAGCCATTTTTTGTAAATTATTCTCATAAGCTTTATCGTAAATTTTTAATGCATTTATTAGAAAAGACTTTTAAAACCTCGCTGAGCACTGCTTAATGGAATCAAAACGCTACCAATGCGCACAAGATTAATGGTTTATTTATATCTCACTAGGATACTTCAGTCAGAATATGATTGCTCTAAACGACTCCAAAATGATCCATTTAGAAGAAGGTAGTAAAACATTTACAATTTTCTAAGAGCCTTTCAAAACTTTTATGTAAATGGTCTATAATGTAAAGTAATTTAAAAATGCGATTTTTGGGTTGTGGGTATGAATGCATCTAATGACTATCTTTAAAAAATACTTCCAAAATTACATCCACACCCATTCTATACAAAATAAATAACCGTATGATTGATGTCAACGATTTTTTTGAAGAAAAAATATAGTTATTATGTATACAGATCAAGGACTTAATGATCGGATAGGATGAGAACAAATCCATAAAATAAAATAGTTCTTACTAGGTGTCATTTGTCGAATGACTACTACCTATGAAGACTTTAGTTATCGGATTACAGCATCTTGTTTCTCTAGCCATGATTTAACGGGGCTATCAATTCAGTTTAGATACCTATGTTGCCGTTTGATATCAATTCAATGGTTTTTTTTCGTTCTACAGACATCTGAAAATATGTTGTTCATACATTCTGTTGCATAAAATTTTTTATGCACTTTATTTAGGATGTGGATATTGGTAACTCTGGGTGAAAACAATCTGTAAGATAATTCAACGTTCACTTATCTTTATCAAACTCATTGGAACATAAAATTTTTGAAAAAAGCTTTCGATCTACGAGGCAAAAAGAACTTCATAAATGCTGTGCTTCCTAGAAAATACCTGAAGTGTTCAAGAACCGTATTCTTACCAAAATGCAGCAAGAAAATATTACTATTATGGATAAATATTAATCTCGCATTCATATCTCAGCAGAATGTTAATTTTTATCTCTTGAAATATATCAGTTTGAAGAAGCGAAAAAACTTTAGACATTTTTTTTCTACATACCAATAATCTCGATAGTACATCTTCGTCATCGAAATCGAGTTTGGTTAATATTTCCTTTAACAATTTAATACTTCATGCTATTATTTTTATTTCGTCTAGAATTACAGATTTGAGTACACTACTAATATATTAAAATGAGTCAACGCTCTAGTACAAAACAAACATTTACATAATATATGATGTTAAAGTAAAACTCAAGTTAAAACTACTGTTTTTTTTTATTGGATTTGCCATATTGACATACATAAACTACTAGTATTATTATTATATATCTCATTCTCTTGATAAAACTTCTCCTATTTATTGTTTTGAATTACAAAGTGTAATTACTATTTTTATATGCTCGAATTTTTCTGTGCGTTATAAACCATGGTGGATAGTAATATTTACGGCTTTCACAAGCAGATGGATATATTTTATCATGGAATAGATGACCATCCGCAAGGTAACGCGTCCATCATCCAAATATTCCACCAGTTATGATTAAATATTAACAAAGTGAAGCAATAAATAAATATTTAGTAGATGCAGTATAGTATGTACGAACAAAGTATGTACAACGAGTATGACTCCCAATCCAGGTGATTCATTTGTGATGAGAATAGTTATTTTTAATTTTCTACTGAAACGTAAGGTTTGAAATCAAACTTCAGTTTTTAAATTTGAATGAATAATTTTGAGACTTTCTCAAGTACAGATTGTCTTGTAACAAAGATACATTCTCGAATATCTTCACCATATTTAGCAAAATGAAGATATGATTGCTAATAACCATGTAATGCAAATAGATGTCTTGATAAAATTGCATTTGAACGTGTCAATTCAGGAAGATAATGGCAACCAACACTTTTACCTATGAAAGTCATTGGTTTTGAAGTGTTGTGAATAAGTATTTGAAGAAAATCGTACGATTATCTATATATATAGAACAAGTATTTATTGTATGCATTCTGTATTTTTCTATGCGCTAACCAGTGATCAAAGAAAAAAAAAGAAAAATAATGCGATTATTGTTCTAATGAGCTTTGAAGTGAAGATCTACAAACTTAAAAAATCTCATTTTCAAATAAATAAAAGACTTTTGGTTCGACAAAGCAAGAGGTGACTAAGCATTTCTGTCGTGAATTTTCGTCCGAACGAAACATGTAGACTTCAGTCTTATTGTGTATGTGGCTAACCGAAAAGTTAATGTGATTTACAATTTATAGGCTCTACAATATAATTATTACAGTATGAAGCTTAATTTGTGAACGAAACACTTTAATCAAGCCTGTTATATTTAGCAGAACCACTAATTAATCTTTTTGGCCGATACTCGATGAATTTTAGTTAGATTAACTAATTTTCTACGAATGTAAATGATAAATTAGGAATTAAAATAAAAAAGGTAACTCGATCAACACATACTATGAAATATTTAGAGAACATGCACTGATGCAAAAACGTATTGGTGTATTATTTTGAATTTCTGTTGGTCTTTCAAATTTAGAAGTTACTTTTTGAAGTTATTCAATATTTTGATTGATGTTTTACTTGAAATCAACCCTCAAAAGTTTTAAAGTAAATTTTTTAACATAATTTAAAGTTCTCTATGTATTTTAAGCTTTGTAAAATTCATCGAGTATTATACAATTCATAGAAGAACTTCATGATAGAATAAAGATTTAGTTATCCTTATCTTTCATCTATATTTATGAGAAAATACAAGATGCGCAGCCAAGCCGAGGGACTTACATCCTCTTGTCAAAAAAAAAGTTGGAAGGAGGTACAAAGAGACAAAGTTTTTAACAAATCAAAAATTATTTTCTCCTTGATGTGCGTCGTCCGAGCTTTACAAAATATTGAAGTCAAATTAATACCTTTCATCGATTGTCTTGTTATAAGAATATCTATATTCACTCGCTTTTTCTATATTGCCTTAGATTGCTTTAATTCGACTTCAGTTCGGATTGACGTCATCATTCGTTTCCTTTCCGATCTCTATTTGATAATGAAAACTGTATAGGAATCGGTAACGGTAATAACTCATTGAGACAGAGCACAGAAAACAGAAAAGAGAAATCAAAAGCAATTATTTCAATGATTGTCGCTAATAGCTCAATATTTTACGTACATGTAGCTAAAACTTCTTAGTGGTTGTTTTCGTTTGTCGAACCTCTCTTTCTTGAAAAGCCACTCTTAAAAATGACACAACTGTAGAAACCTGCAAACTAATACTTACATTCAACATAGTTGTTCAACTATGATGTTGTGCTCCTCAAGTGCTTCAGATATCATACATATTCATAATAATTTATCTTCAAATATCAAGTCCTTGTAGAAAAAATTATTAGAGACGAGGATTTGGATGTAAGTGTAAATACTTTATTCCAATATTCACGTCTTGTATACCTTGAATACATTTTTCAATTAAGAAACTACTCTGTTCCACTATCTTGCAAAAAATAGCTCCAGTTCGATTCTATTCATCTTCAGTCTTTGTACCTCACAACTGCTCCATGACTTGTCCATTTCTAACAACTTTATGTTATGTCATATGTTTTTTCCACGAAAGGACTTTCATCAAAAGTCAGAGAATAGAAAATTTGAATAGCAAATCAAGAATATCATTTTCTCTAACTGCGAACAAAGAATATAATCTCTGTGCAGACTTTCTAGTTTTCAAAACACTTATATGAGATTTAGAAAAGAAAAAAACAAAGAAAATAAATATTTGTTCTTTTCGCTACACAAAACCTTATCAATCTTGTCACATATAAAAATATATGATAACAGACTATCAACTCTTAAATTTACTTTTGATATGGAAAGGTAAAAACAGTCACGTTGCTTGAAAGTATTTCCTTGTTTTTACTATGAGTGAAGTATTAACTATGATGAGATTTGAATTAATACCAAATGAGATTTTAATGGAATGCTTTGGATATCTTAGTGCATCTGAAATTTTTCATGCATTTGATCGATTGAATTATCGTTTTTGTAAACTTATTCGAAATATTCAATTATACCTCAATTTTCATCATATTCGAAAATCATTATTTGATCGATTTTGTAAAAAAATGTTATTAGAACCACACATTAAAATTAAAATTTATTCGATGCATTTGTCAAATAAAGGTTCACATGATCAAATTGAAACATTTCTATCATTATTTTCAATTGATGAATTTCCTAATCTTCGATCATTAACATTGACTCAAGTTACATATGAAAATATAGAAAAAGTGAGATCGATGTTATCATCTATACCAGAATTATATTCTCTTCACTTGATCGATTCTGAAAATATAGAGGCTGGCACATTAGTTCCTTTAACAACGTCTAAAGTAAGAATATTATCTGCAGACACATTAGTAGTTTTACCAACATGGTTCGAGAGATTCTTATCAATTACAAGTTTCACAGTATTATCTAGTGAAGTTTTTGATTTGTGTCGATTGATGGAATATATGCCAATGTTAAAATATTTACATGTTGAACATTGCATTTATATGGGTAAATCATATACTAAGCAGGCGCGTTATAAAAAGACTTGTGCTATTCATTTAAAACAGTTGATTGTTGATGACTTAGAGTTTCGATTCGAGACATTTCAAAAGCTTTTAGAAACAACACCCAATCTAAAAAGTTTAACACTATCTGCAGGTGGTAGGCCAGATATGTTTGATGCATGTCAATGGGAACATTTGATTTCATCTTCATTACCTTACTTAAAGATTTTCAAATTCCGATTTGGATGCGCTTTTGTATATTTTGATAATGACTACATTAATATGTTTGAACGATTTCAAAATGATTTTTGGCATAAACAACATCATTGGTATACTGAATGTTTATTAACAAAATCTTCAATATTTATTTATACAACATCTTACGCTTCATATAAGGATCGATTAAGAATGACTACCAATGAGAATATTTATATTAGTTCAATTTCATTGTTTGATGCAACAGATTTAACATCGAGACAACAAGAAATAGAACAAAAATGTCAATCTTATTTTAAGAATATAGTTTCGTTCGAGATAGAAACTAATTTAAAAACAAAGCATTTTGAAATTTTGAAAAGGATGATTAGTTTGTCTAACTTGAATTATTTAAAAATTTTATCTAGATGTAAAATAGAAACATCATCAATATTATTACAAATATTAAAAGAAGCACCTCAATTATCAACGATAACTATTGATCAAAAACAATTAATATCGTTTTGTAATGATGATGATGAATTGTGCAACTATTTAAGTAAAATGATTCAAAAATTAGATTTATGGCATGACAACGATCGTTCTACACCAGCATTTAATAATTATGCTGAATTACGAAAGTTTTGTAAAATATTTTCTAACGTTGAGGACCTTCGATGTTATATTGATAAAAAAACTGAATTTCTATTTGTATTAAATCAGCTATCAAAATTATCAAATACAACAATTTTTATGACAACATCAGATAATCGTAAAAGTGTTTTAAATTGGATTAAAAAAGAATTAACAAAATTAAATGTAAATTATCATATAGACAGTAATCGATGGTATGCAGGCGACGATCACGTGATGGTTAATATTTGGATGGGTTAAAAGATCGATGGATTGATTGATATTTTTTTTTTGCTCTTTTCATAATAAAAATCTATGAGTGCAATCTTTAAGAGGGTGCCGTATAATAACTCGGGATAAATCATGAATGATACTCTTCATAGATTTTGTTTGATATAGACGGGTAAAACGTCTAACACATATAATATCTAAACAAGATCTTTATTTTCTGTAAAACTTTCAGCTTTCTACTGAAACTAACGTCGACGCTAGGATATAAGACGGGTGGTTGTTTTCTGAATAACTTTCGATAGCGACAATGAAGAGGTATAAGCCGAAGGGTTTAACGGTGGCAGCAGCTAAAACTTTTCAAGATCGGAGGTGACTACATTTAAAAATGAAGTCTTCTTCTGAGAAATAAAAGATATCTATTTATTATAATCCTTGTTCATAACAATTTTAAGAGGCTCCTCACCCAGAAAAGTCGATTTTCGTGAAAAAAGAAAAGATTTTTGAGATAGGCTTACGGACATGTCGACTAAGTTATCTACTTTCAATATTCAAAAAGAAAACTTTTGATTTTGAATGATTCCAAGAGATATACTGGTACTTTTTGAAGGATCTCTCTGGTAATATTCTTAAGAGAGCACCCATGAGGCCATCGAGAAATCGAAGCACTCATCAAAACATAAGTTTTTGATCTGATGTTCTCATCTCGTTCAGAGTTATCTGAAACCTCTAAATCCGAATTTTTAGCGCATTTAGTTGAGCTCATGAAAACTTAGCTTCATTTTACTGTCGAACACTCACGATGATACTTGAAAAATATCATAAAAAAAACGTTTGTATCAAGTAAAGAGTTTTTCAATAACATCAAATTAATTAAATTTTTCGTGTAATGTACCAAAGTTAGAACATCGAAAGCTAAACAAAATCACCTATTTACAAATTATATTTTAATGCGCTGATGGAGAGTTATTTTTCAAATACTGTCTAAGAATGACAATTTCTTGAATAAAAAATATATCAACTATGTTAAGTATATCAGCTGCTAAAAAAGTTTAAAAAATAAATTCGAGTTTTAGTCGAAAAATTGCTCACATTACTCTCATATTTAATATTTCTTTATGGTTTGTCAATAAAAAAAAGAGACATTTCTAGCGATTTTCATTACTATGACGCAATTGAATAGCAATATCGATATGTTAGTCATTATCAGCGTTAAAACTGTAGCAATTCATATATAATTTCAAAATAATTTTTTTCCGTCAAAAATTAACTTACAGAGGATCAGGAGGAAAAATTTTTAAAAAAAAGAGAGCTGTGGAGGACCACAGGTGAGTTTTTGACGGAAAAAAAGATTTTTCAAATTATGTGATTCAATGTAGTGGATGTGGATGTATCATATAGAATGGTCGTCATCCCATGATAAGGTTGTTTCTTTCCATGTCGGGATTTCATCAGTTGGTATATTTAATATTATATCTATGTGTAAAAGAGATGTAATTCAAAATAGAATAAAAAAACCATGTGAATTACATATATATAGATACAATAATTAAATTTAAACCGCGATTTGGAGAAGGGTGTGGATTTGGGTGTTGATGTTGAATCATACTTACCCATATCCTTATCCACATCCTTCTTTAGAATTTTACTGAGAATAAAATAATTTTTCATCCGAAAGATTCAGTAAGAATTCTTAAAACATTTCTGTTTAAGTAGATAACTCAGACAAATATAGCTTATATAAAAAAAACAGCTGCTTTATGAATATCAAGAAAATCGGAACTCTTTGTGATCAGAATGTGAACAGAATAGAATAGATATTCACACCCATTCCATGTTGTCATCTGATGATTGTCATAGCCGATGTGAAATTATATACTTATCGACATTTTTTCTCTTCCTGTTCTGTATTTTGGAAAAAAACAAAGCGACTATTGTTAAAGAAATATTAGACATTGATGAGGATCTATATGACGATGCATATTTTTTTTCTCTCGTTCTGTATATGTTGCCATCTTCTCATGTAAAAAAAATAGGCTATGACAAAATTCTTAGTACTTTTATTAATAAAGTAACTTTTTTTACTTACTTTTTTAGTACTTTTTTGATGCTTTTTTTTGAAGTATACTCCATTAATTATTTTACTTCCCAAAGTAATTAATAGTACTTTTCATCTTAATAAAGTGTCTTATATTAATGTTTCTACTTTATCACACTTTGGTAATATAAAGTAGAACTTAGTTGTACTAGTGGCACCTATGAAGAATGCTATATTAATTTTTGTATTTTTCAAAGTACTTTCTATTACTCGTGACATTATTTAAAGCACTTTATACTACTTTTTGAGCTAGTGAAGTATGCTGTGTTATCCATATAAAAAGCAGCGAGAAAAAACCTATTAAATATATTTGATATCAATAAAGTAAATTAAAGTAAGGGTTGGCCGTAAAAATGTCGAAAAAATAATATCGACAGGAAAAAAGGTTCATAAATATTTTGAAGAGTTGTGAATAGTGAAGAGCATGTTATATGAGCTAATGTCAATATAATAACAGTGACTAAATGCAGTTAATGAGAAAAATTGGTTTATATATTTTTGGGTGTGGGTGTGGGTGTGGGTGTGGGTGTGGGTGGGTGTGAGGTGTGGGTGTGGATATCTTTCTTTTCTTAATCTACACCCACACTCGTTTTCTCCGCTCTAAGTGTCCCCTTTCTCTTAGTACGCTTTTATTCCTCGTTTTTCAGGAAGATGCTTGTAGACAAGCTGTTGCTATCTTCACGCTTGTTCAGTTCGTTGCTACACTATCCATTCATGTTGTAACAATACTCGGCTTGTTTACAAAAATGAACAATGCAGTCAACGCTCATGTGTTAGCAAATTTAGCAAGACACGAACAACGACTGAAACTTTTTCCTGGAGAGAAATAACTGTAGTAACAAAAACAACACCGATTAACTCGAATAGAGTAACTAAAATGACTATTAGCTGGAGCGACATTTTTTGACGTTTTAATTTTACGCATCAATATACATGAAAAGAAAAAAAAACCTTATGTAGACTACAAAAATGTAAACAGTTCTTTCTTATACTCAACTAACATAAACTATCTTGATCTCTAATCTTCTTTTTTCAACATTAAATTCTTTTACTTTGTTTAGTTTTAATCTTTAATTGCTTCTTTCATTCCATTGTGCAGTTTTTTTAACTCTCTCGTTTTTCAAACATTATTTAATTACAAGAAAATATTCCTAGATATCTTCATATAACCTTGTTCATCCATATATCAATCGATAGAGAATGTCAGTGCATGGCCAGTCTAGTCTAAATTAGAGACGTTTTTGTTTTGCAAGCAAAAAACAAAAGCATATAGAAAAATGCAGGAGGTCATACATAAAAGCCGTGGAAAGCTGACATTTTTATGAATTTTGATGTGTTTAAAGATGAATTTTTCAGAAGCCAAGCAATCATATGATTATCATTGCAAATCTTGCTGAAAATAGAGAGAGTTCATGACAAGATCGAGAAACCGAAATATTGATCAAGACTTAGATTTTTGTCTTTGTTTTTGTGTTATAAGGATGACTATGAATATGAATGTGGATACCAATGAATGAAAGAGCATCAATCACACTCATCTTCTGATTCTGTACAAAATTTTAAATCGAAAGCTGGAACCCAGTTTTCTTGGTGTTCATCAAGAGAACTACGATCCAAATTAAAAAATACCGTAAAAATACAATATCTCGACAGTGATAAACTAATATTTCGAAGTTTTTTTCAGAATATTTACTGCTTGTTAGAATAACATCATGCACATAGTCCCAGCTGAAAAGTGATTTGAGATTCAAATATGTTCTCATGTTAGTTCTTATTATTCATAACGAATTTTATTGTGTTGCTTTCATTTTCAAAACAAGGCACTGTATTTTTTGAATATAGATCTACTACAATTAATTTTAAAATAAAGTTTAGCTTATGTAAGAATGAATTCGTTTTAAACATGAACTATTGTTGACTACTGTCCATTTCAAAATAGAAGGCGAGTGATTGTAAGATGAATAACTCACGAACGCGATGAGATATTGTGAAACGGTTTTCGCCAGCTTATAGACGAGTCTGAGGGACGTCGATCTATGAAAGAAGAAAATTTTTCGTCCGAGTTTCTAGCTAGTTTTCACGTGGATCTTTGGAAAACTACGATCATTTTTAGGGATCCAACATTAGATTTT